AGTAATACTAAACTAAGCTTATCACTTGAGAAAGCTAAAAGAAGGTTCCAAAAAGTACTTAAACTCCATATTCGCATGGCAACATCACGGCAAATTAGAGCATGGAAAGTAGTGCGTGTTTGGAACCGTTTTTGAAAACGATTTTTCCGTATTTCGAGAAATAAAAAATAAAAATGAAAACGAAACGAAGTTTGTTTAACAAATATTTTGAGAACGAAAATAAAAATGAAATAGTGAGAATGGTTTTTGTGAAGGAATTAGAAAATAGTTGAAAGTTGTTTTCACTTTTCTGTTTTTATTTTTTTAGTACTTATCAACAATATTATAATATATTAATTAATAAACATGATTTCACTTTTTTATTATACTCAAAACAATCTCTTAAAAAATCAACCAAACGTAATTTTAGAATTTGTCTCAGAATGATTCTCAAAACAATCTCATTTTTACTTTTTATTAAAAATAAAATCATTTTAAAATAAATTCTAAACGCACATGTAGTTTCCTTACAATTAAAGCACCAGTTACATCCCTCACAACAAGCAACACCTCAACTCACAAGATTTTTCTAGGTAGACAAGATGTTGTGAAAAGAATGCCACAAAAAAATTTTCAATTTATGGGGAATTTTTAAGTGCCAAAGAAAGTTCCACTAATGCCGATCTGCATTCTCCTCCGACAAGTCACAAATATTTGCCAAAATTGGTTAGAAGTAAATTTAATTAAAATCTCGTATTTATCAAATTTTGGTCATGGAGTAAAATATATTAAATCCCAAACTTATCAAAGTTGATTATAGGATAAATCAGAGTAAATTATAAATTTATCAAATTTGGTATCTTTCACATTAGTGGCGGTTTGAGCACGATGAAAGTTGACATTGGTGGATTGGTGGTTTGGTATTATCATAGTTACCGATGAATCATAAGGCCGTTTGTTTTATATATATTTAAATTTAAATTATTGATTTTGTTACAATATTTTTTTAAAACGCCATAGTTTTTAGTTTCTATACACTAATATGCTTGACATGCAGTGATGAAGCAAGGAATCATTTTCAAAATGGCACGTGAATAAAATCAAAATTTTAAATTAAAATTGCAATATAACTATATTTTCTTATCTTTTTACCTTTTTAATATATTAGTATCTTTTTTTATTCTTTTTCTAAATGAATTAAACTTGTTATAGAATCTAATTCGCATATTAAAGTTTAGAGTTTTGAAAATTATCAGTTTATTTAATAGTACAGTTGATGTTTTTTACATTTTGGGGTTTAAAGTTTAAAACATAACTAAGCTTCAAAGTAAAAACTTGAGTGTACCTATTTTTTTAATATTTTCTTCAGTTTCTTTTGAGAAATCATTCCTCCAACGTAACATGTAGTTATAAAAACGTAATATGAGAATATTGACGTTGAAGAGAAGTAACATAGTCTTTAGATGACTAAATTCTTTGGCTTTACTTCTTTCATGTGTCAATGTTGTTAGTGCCTTTTGTATTGACTTATTTTTAGAAAATTAGTTGTAAGATTGGCTAGCATTATAAATTGGTGGTCCTCTTAAGGAAAGTATTGCTGTCATGTTTAATGGCTGCAAATCAAATGACTTGATTGTAATATTTTGAACGTAGTGGATTGATCACTGTCTGGGTGTGGTCCCACAGATGTAAGTGTGTGCACTGCGATATTATTCTCTGAATGTCTTTCTTTTTCTCTCCTCTTAACCTACGTTTATAATTTTATATTCAACATTCACATTTTAGGACCTTTGTTCGGTTAATATGCTGGGCAGAGTTGGGTAGGTGGTAGAACTGAGTGAAAAAATCCTTTGATTATAATTACCTCAGATCATTGTTGTTCTATTAGTAAGTGCCAAATTTTTTAAAATGATGAAAATGAGGGTGGAGGTAGGATGACACCAATAATTTTATTTTTATTCTTTTTTTTTAAAAGCAACTTATTTGTGGTCTTCTCATTTACATCTTAAAAAAACAGTCATTCTCAGTAAGTAATTATACTTTACGTCCCTAACATGATATATTTTCTAGGGCCGGTAATATGGGCCACGACACGACGATACAACTCAAAAACGACACGAATTTTACGGGTTAAGGTTGAGAAAAAAATATTCGGGTCAGAATTGGGTCGACCTGAAATTGACATGAAAAACACAAGTCAATTTCGGGTTGGACCCGCCTAACCCGAACATGACATGAAACTCGTAAAAAACTAAAAAATACATATATTTTTCATTTCATATTTTAAATTTTATTATGAACTTGTGATATCATGATAGTTATACTCAAAATCTTATACTATTATTTGCTTAATTTCAATGGATGTTATTGTAATTTAGTGTGTTATGAATTTTAAGTTATTTTTAATATATAAAAAACTAAATAAAAGTATACAACTTTCGTGTCAATTTCGGGGTCACGGGTCAATTTCATGTCACGGGTCATTTTCGGGTCGTGTCGTGTCAACTCGTAAAGTTGTCGTGTCGTGTTCGTGTTGCGGTTTTTAAAAAATTTCGTGTCACGGGTCGTGTTCGGGTTGACTGTAAATTTAAAAAGAAACGATCAAAACACGACACGTGACACGAATTACCACCCCTAATATTTTCTCTCCAATATACTTGCTAAGGCGCTAGAAAAATGGGAGAACATGTTCAATCAACCGGCCAATAAGGTCAACAAGTTACAAGTAGTCCACCTTTCCACACAAACATGTACATCCATACATATATATATATATATATATACACACACACACACACACATATACGTACATATATGGCTGATTGGACATCATAGAAAGTTTTGTTTTGTGATATATATCTTTCAAAGTTGTTCATGTCCACTCGTTTGGTCACTGATTGCGATATATGCTGGTCACTATCCCCAAATGAATAGTGATCTTTCATCCTTGTATTCTATAGAAAGGGACTCTCCAAAAGCATAAAACAAAGACCAATTTTCCTCTCATCTCTGCATTTCCATATCTCCAATTAAATTTTCGATCTCAAAGTGTATATATTTATATAATGATTATAGACATAAAAAAGTCAATAAATATCTGGAAAGCACAAATATATTTCTTTCATCCTCGTAGGCCACAAGAGAGAGTTGATGAAGCGAGGGACAAATATTTAAATCAGGCACGAGAAAAAAAAAAGGTCATTTCTTTTGTTTATTATGCAAGCTCATAGTGGTGGGGAAACCATCATAATTAAGTTTCATAACGATCATTAATGCCACAAATGGAATAGAAACTAGAAATTTATTAAGTACCTAAATGCTTTAGTAATTAATGGACCAAACTGATTAATGTATTTGTACCCGTGTAGGGAAGCCTTCAACATGTTTCCAGAAAATATGGGACTTGTCCTTTCAAATTAACTTGGCTAATAGGGGAAATAAAATGTGCTATTTGCCAAGGTAAATGGTTTACTTAATTTGGTCTTGTTTTATAGAAAATAATGTCGCCAAAATAAATTAAATGAATTTCATTATCCATTCGAAGAGGGAATTTGTCAACACATTTTGTAAGTATTAGCTTGACGAAATTGGATAAAACTAATCGGTATTATAAACACTTTGGTAATGATTTGTACCGTGATTTGAATTATGGTTCGTCGTTCGCTACAGTGTTTTCTTTCACAAAAAACCCACGTAAATTGAAAATGACTCTAAATTCATGAACTAAACGTCCATTAAATCTTTCGGGACTTGAATAATTGTCAACGCATCCGACTCCATGTATTAGAGACGTTCAAACTAGTTATATAAGCATTCCACAAATTGGGAGACACATGTTGGGTTTTAGGTTCAAACAAAAGACCAATCTTTCTTTGTAAATTGGGAACAACAAGAGGGTGGCCTACATTTGAAGTGTCAATTCTTGAATTTTGTTGTGTAGCTCTTTAACTGGTAATGATAGTGCCATTTCACCTTACGGTCGGCTATTTTCCTCTATAAGCGCATCAATATTAAATCTATTTTCATTCAATGAAGAATCCAAATGTTATCTTACTGCTTAATCTCCTTAACATTTTTGGGCATGAAAATGAAATACACTTCAAGATTGGAATCTTTTTCTTTTTAGTGACTGCATCCTGCTTTCCGTCCTTCTTATTCCATTGGAAACAAACTTATTCTTAAGTGTCATATTCGTCATCCATTCATTGGTTTATCTAAAATGATTCGATATAATTTGATATCTCATTCTTTAATTTTGTTCACATCTGCTCTAAAGTTTCAGTTCAAAGTAACTAGGCTTTAATTAGTATACTCATGAAAAAAAATAAAAGAAAATTATTATATATATATATATATATATATTACCAAATGCTTCTCACATCTTAAATTTTTTTTAAGGATCACATCTTAAAATCTTGCTCAACACATGTTGTAGAAACAATATTTAAAAGTAATTTGAGAACATGAAGAGAGAATAATTCTAGACGGAAAAAAAAGTTTAACGACATCTCGTGACTTTATGTAAGAGCTTTTTACTGTAGTTAAAAATTAAATGTGATTGTTTTCGAGAGCATTTTATTATAATAAAACTTAAATTTTAAACTCGAATCAGTAAAATGAACGGAAGAACTTTATGTATATTTACACACAACAAAAACTTTTAGAGGTACAAAACTCAACACAAATAAATATTCTGATTCATAAATTCATGCATGAAAACTCCATTAGTGGTTTTAATACATGCAGTTAAAAAAAAAAAGTCAATTAAATGAAGAAGAAAGTGATTTACGTTACTTCCCAAAGCAAATAAAGATAAAGAAAGACAAAAAAGAGCAAATTAGCTTAGGTTTCATGTCACCACCAAGAATCCATTCCCATTCTCACGCCCTTCGAGGTGGGACAATCTCAAACCCCATCACTTTCTTTTCTCTTCTTCTTATAGACTTCCCTTTGAAAAATAAACAGATTAAAAAATAAAAATAAAAACATGTCAGAGAGAGAGAAAAAAAAAAGAAAATACATCTGAAAAAGAAAAGAATAAATGCGTTGGTTGGTTTCAACTTTGAAGCTAGCCGTTTTCTTTTTCTCTTACATATTCCTTCTCTTCAGATTCAGATATTTGATGCCCACTTTCTCTCTCCTCCTCCACGCTTATATACATTTCTTTCACTGTACTTTTTAGAGAGAGAAAGAGAAATAGAGAGAGGGCCAGAGACAGAAAAGCACTCATCGTCAGACAGAGAAAGAGAGAAAGGGGAGAGGATTAGAAAAGAAAAAGAAAGTTTTAATCTCAAAACTAAAAAATATGGGTTCTTCTTCAGGACAGAGCAATAGCTACGATCTGTCGTTCAAGATCTTGTTGATCGGAGACTCAGGTGTCGGCAAAAGCAGTCTTCTTGTCAGCTTCATCTCTGCCTCTACCGACGATCTCGCTCCCACCATTGGTAAATTTTCTGTTTGTTTCCCGAGAAAAAAAAAATAAAACAGAGGAAAATGTTATGGAAAAAAAAATATCACCTTTTCTTTTATAGTTACATTATACATCAACGGGATTCTTTTATTTATTAATTTTTTCTTTTTCATTTTTGGGTTGTCCTTGGTTATTTTCAACAGTTACTTTAGGACACTTTTTTGAGCTGGTGAAATTGGATCTATATATATAATTCATAAGATTTTGGCTTTCTGAGTTATTTTCTAGCTAGTAATCAAATTTGGATTAGTGGGTACAAGCGTTGAATTTTTTTTTTTTAAAGTCTATTTGTTTGAGTTTATTCTTTTGCTTTCTCTCTGATATATGATCATATATAGAATGTTTATCATTTTCCCTAATTAACTTTTTTTTTTTTTTAATTCTTTATGCCTCTAGGAGTGGATTTTAAGATCAAGCTGCTAACAGTAGGTGGAAAGAAATTGAAGCTCACTATTTGGGATACTGGTAATCTAATTGCCCTTTAAATTTCATCTCTTTATTTGATAATTTTTTCATATATATATATATATATAGATATTATAATTATATGCAAGAATTTGTTCAATCCCTTTCTGCTTCAATCTGATTTGTGTCTATTGCATTGCAATTTGAAAAAGGCAGCTATGAACTTGCATTGTAGCACCAAGTGGTCAATGATATCTTTTTTTTTTTTTTTTTTTTTTAAATAATATGTACCAGTAATATCTAAAGATACAATCTTTGTGAAGTTTTAAAAGCCTTTTAGTATATCTCCATTTTTTTTTCCCTTTTGCTATATAATAATGTCTGTTTCGAAACGTGGTTGCCAATATAAGGAAACATAATATTAATTTTTGCAGCTGGACAGGAGAGATTCAGAACATTAACAAGCTCTTATTACAGAGGTGCTCAAGGGATCATTCTAGGTACGATACTAAATAATAATAACAATAGTATTGATAATAATAATTGTATTGGGGTCTATTTTTACTTTCAACTTGAAAATAAACATTTATGCTTTGTTCCTTATCTTGTAAGTGTGGAACTAAGAAGGGTCAATTTTTTTTTTTTTTTTTTTTTTGTAGCAATAATAAAAAAAAGTATTTCGAGGATTAGCATTGATTTGATTATGAAATCATTTTGTTAAGATATTTTGTTACATTGTTGAGAAAATATTTGTGGTTGGCCCAGCTTAGCTGTCATTCTCTTTAATTATTTCATAATTTCACAAAACAAGTTCCTAGATCTTAATCCAGTAAACTTATTTGACTTTTTCGTCAACTTTTGGACTATGTCATAATAATTACGCAGCCGTGGTTAAGATCTGCAGTTTGGATTAAAATATTATATTATGTACTAAATGGATTAATTTTACTAATCCGCGACGTGCATAATTGTGTGTTAAGATATAAAAAAAAAAGTACGATAGTTTTTCAGAGTTTGATAAAAGAAAATAATAATAATAATCTAACCGTTTAAAATTGTGCCTCTTTGTGAGTTTGTTTTTTTTTTTTTTTTTTTTTTTTTTTTTTCCTTAAGAGATTTCTCTGGTAGGCATTTAAAAATAAAATACCATAAAGGTTTTGTTTTCAGCCCTGTTCTCATATATTTTTAATCATATCCAATAATCAGAAACTGATCCTATCTATAGGACATTCTATTAGGGTCCGTTTAGTTTGTTGATTCGAGTTTTTAATTCGAGTTCAGATGTGACTTTATGTGAGAGCTTTTTACTGTAGCAAAAAAGTTAGATATGACTGTTTCTGAGAGTTTTTTATTATAGAAAAACTCAAATCGATAAAATGAATGAGGTATTAGAGAAAAACCTTTTTTCTTTATACAATTTTAGTATTTTTTTATATTGAATTTATACCATCAGTACTGCTGTGCATGTTTTTGTTATATGATCTGACATCTTTTCTTTGTGTTTTAGTTTATGATGTGACTCGGCGAGAAACATTCACAAACTTATCAGATGTATGGGCTAAAGAAGTCGAGCTCTACATGACTAATAAGGACTGTGTCAGGATGCTTGTTGGCAACAAAGTTGATAGAGTATGTGATCCTCAAAATTTTGATTCCAAATAAACCAAAACCTTACACCTAAATGTTGATCTGCATATGTGATAAGACGGTTTTTCTATGAGGTTTTTTATAACAGGTACGAAAAAATACCTAAAGCATGACTTTGTTTTCAACCGTAGCATCTGTCAGTTTTGCACACTTTTTTTTGTTGATTTAGGGGATGTGATTATTAGTAATCGTTTTTATATTTTCATTGTCATTTGTTTTAGCTTACTAATTTAGCTTTAATTTTGTTATTAGTTTATCGTTATTTGTGTAGTTTGTCGTTTGTATTTTGTTATCGTTTTGTGATAGGCTATAAATAACTCATTAGCTACTGTGATGGGAGACTTAAATATTGGAGAATTGAATACGAAGTTCAATTTTCTCTCCAATTTAGATGTTTTCCCTTGTGGGATTTTTATCTTCCGTCCAGGTTAAGCCGTTAAAATTCTATCCTATTAATTCCGCTGCTTCAAATGTTCAGAAATATACTACCGTAAAGTATACCAAACCATAGAAAGCTCTTTTTTATTTACGTTGTGATGGCTTATTGGTAAATCGAGTCTTTTTTCTAAACACTTTATCTTAAAAGAAATATTAACCGATTTGTTTTGCAGAACTTTTTTACCATGGTGTTTCTCTTATAAAAAATTTAAATTTCTGTTCAAGACTTTTTGTACAAACCTATAAACCAAAACGGTTTATTTGTTTCATGTCAGGAATCTGAAAGGGCTGTAAGTAGAGAAGAGGGAATGGCTCTGGCCAAAGAGCTTGGATCTTTGTTTCTTGAGTGTAGTGCCAAAACCAGAGAGAATGTTGAGCAATGCTTTGAAGAGCTTGCATTAAAGGTAAATATATTAACATGTCCAAACAAAATTCTAAACTTGTAAATCATCTTGTTTTCAGAATTCTAATCACAAGTTTGGAATTGTTTTGAACAGATAATGGAGGTCCCAAGTCTGTTGGAAGAAGGTTCAAATGCAGTAAAGAGAAACATTATTAAGCAGAAACCGGATCATCAAGCACCTCCTGGTGGGGCTTGTTGCTTGTAAAATGTTGTAGTGTGTGGACTTCAACATCAAAGATTGACTCACACCATAAACAGATCATGTATATGTATTTTTTTCTTCTAATTTTTCATCTTTTTTTTTTCATTGCTTCTGCTGTTTTATTAAGTTGCTTAATTAGCTGTACCATCATTATGGGAAATTGGGTACTCATAACAACATCTATTAGCTTGTGTAAATGTGGTTGCTTTTTTTTTTTCTTTTTCCACCTAGTGTTGTGAACACATAATTCTCTGCATTTCTTCTGATTTTAAATAAAATTTTCTACTATATGTTCACTAGGATAGTAGAATTACTTGTTATTTGAACACAATATAGTGATGGTCGATATTTACACGATGAACAATTTCAGCTATTAGATTGTTTGCCATATCAGTAGGTCAAATTTGTTATGACTATTGGATTAAATTTTAACGTTTTGATTTATGAGTGTTCTCGTGTTGTATGATTCATTATTTTTAATGTGAACAATCGCAATTCATAACAATATATTTTAATTGAATGACTACGAAAACTTGCCCTATTGATGGGCACGTCATAGAATTTTCTTAAAAACTTTTATAGCTTTGTACCTTGATCGGGTTTATATCATCGTTCAAAACTTATCCAACGTGAGTATGATATTTCAACAGATCTCACTCTACAGCGTTAGTACCTTTCATTTTTTGAATGTTGTCGTCGTTTCTAGTTAATGAACTTTCATTGTTTAGATTTAGATCGCTTTTCTAGTTGTCATTTCTAATTGGTGCCTGCCTTTCTTATATAGATAGCGTCACTTTTAAATGTAATTCGAATTACAACGTTATTCGAATTTATGTTCTTTTAAATTTAAACTTGAGTTCAAACTCGAGTTTGTGACTAAAACTCGAATTCAAGTTTCCCCTTCAACTCGAGTTCAGAAACTCGAACTCAAATTAATGAACAGTGTTTTTTCTATTCTCCAAAATACTATAACTTTTTCGTTTTAATTCTGATTGAGATGATTTTTTTTTATGCGTTGACAACGAAAAGACGAATAAAACCTCACCCATATACCCTATTAAAATTTCCCATCAGTATTGAATTTTTATTAAAATACTATCTAAATACAAATTCAAGTTTTGACTCACTCAAACACAAATTCAAAAAGATTCTTATATCAAACCATAACTCAAATCTACACAACCAAACACAAACTCAAGTTATAACTTTAACTCAAATTATAACTCAAATTCAACTCAAGAATTATACTCAAGTTAAACTCCAAAAGAACAAACCCTTGATACCAATAGCTTACACTATTCTTTCTTCCTTTTCATTCTGAAAATTGCAACAACAAAAAAAAAAAAGGATTCCCTTACTTTCTAGTTTCAACCATTGGTGTCATTGACCTAGCAAAGATGCCACAAAGAAGCGCTCCAGAACAGGAACAAAATGTACACATTCAGCAAGCAAACGCTACTGGATGGGCACCGCACTAGTAGCAGCCTCTAGAATTCTCTTAGCTTCCGAGCCCGGTTCAGGTAGCTCACTCGGGATCTGCCGAAATCAGAAGTTAGAAACACAAAGGAAAATGGTGAAAAACCAGGAGAGTATGAAGTAAAAGCATTCAAATACAAACCTTTCCATAAAGGTTTACCGTTGTGGGAGGGGCACCAGAAGCCAGCAGCAATCTTATAACATCAGGATGCTCGCCTCTTGCTGCGTGATGGAGAGGCTGCGAAAGCAAAATTTGAAAATGACGAGAATGCGGAGTAATAAGGCAAACTAGAACCGTTTTCATCCGATTTAGAGGTTACCCTAACTACTGAGACAGACAAGGAAAAAGGAAAAAGAGGAAACTGCTTAACTACAACTACAAGTCCACAACGCAGTTCTTTCATAGCATACGTGGTTCTCTAGTTTTAACTAGCCGGTTCCAATAATAGCATTTTTGACTGGAGACTAAAAAAGTGAGATTTGATTAGTACTCACGGTATCACCCTCTGCATCAATCGTTTCAAGCATCCTCTTAACGCGCTCGGCATCGTTTGTGCTGTTAATTAGAAATCGAACTATCTCAGTGTATCCTGCAACAGGCATTAGAGAAATAAATTACAGCCAAAGCATGCTTGTAAATTCGAAAGGAGAGCTTCACGTCAAAAGGAAGTGGTAACAGCCTACCTCCTGCACAAGCATCATGCAGAGAAATCGCCCCATCTTCGTCCCTAGCCTCCAAGTTTGCTCCCCTTTCTACAAGTAACTACATTGTCACAGCCATTAGCAACCAAAAAAAAAAAAAAAAAAAAAGTTTTCAATTACAACAACAACAAAAACAAAATTCTCAAAACTAAATACGAATGATGAGAAACGTGGTTTGTACTCACCTGAACACACTCCCGATGCCCATAAAGGCAGCAAAGGTGCAAAGCGGTGTCTCCATCCTCCACAGGTTGATCAATGCTGCCTTCTAAGCTATCTATGTGAAAATGGAAGAAAAGGAAAAACAAAAGAAAAATAAATATATATACTTTCCAAGTTTTTTTATTATTATTTATACAGCATTCTGCTGAAACGGACAAGTTTCATATGAAAATATGTCTCATGAATTAAACAGACAACATGACCGCGAGAATGTTAATTTTTATTTTTTCCACACAAAGATATATGCTGAGATTACTTCGACATTATTCTTCTAATTCAAATGTACCATTTCAAAAAATAAAAACTCTTTATTTTCCATCTTCTTTGTTAAACTTTCCCCTTTTCCAATAATTTAGCCTCTGAGGTTCATTTCATTAATTTTCTACATACCCATATAAATACATATGTATATATATGTACATGTATGTATGTATATATAGATATATATATATATATATATATTGCTCAGGACACTGAGAAATTTAGACATCTTTTAGCATAGTGATTGGCTAATTGCCCGTCACAGAGCAAAAGATTCAAAATTTGATACTTGACGCTTAAAAAACCATGCTAAATTTCAAATCCGCAGTTTATAAATCCAAACATTCCAAATTCGACAGTTTCACACGGACTCTCTTTCATGGAGGAATTCCCTCCTAGTTTCTAATCAGCATAAACACAGTTTTCACGCCACCATAAACAATCTCCTCTTAGCTTCTTAAAAAAAAAAAAAAACCTGAAAATCCAATCCGTAAAAAAAACCCAAGTTCGATACTAAAACCAAAATCAGCTCAAGCAAAAGAATTAACACTTTTTCTCCATTTTTTTCAGGAAGAAAACGGAAAAAGAAGGAAACTTGAGCAATCAAATGCGAGAAAACCGAATTGAAAACGACGAAAGAAAGTGGCGGCGGCGGAGGAGAAAATGATTACCGAGAGCAAGGCGGAGGGCGTGGACGTCGCCGAGCTGAGAGGCGGAGGCTAGGGCACGGAGGTGAGGAGGAGTGTCGGAGTCGAGGTCGACGAGGTTGTCTTCGCCGAAGAGAGCGTTGTCGTCTTCGTTGTCGTCGCCGTCGTCCATCAGACCATTGCGCCTCCCTGGAACCGCCATTTTCTGAATGAATTATGCTCTTTCTGTATGTCTCCTCCTCCCTTCTCCTCTTTAGGGTTTTACAACTTCACTTCTCAGTCGCGTTATAAAGAGTAAATTGCAGAGTTACACCTGAAGCTATTTGTTTTTTATGTAATGCATCCTAAACTTTAATTTTGGCAAAATAGTTGAAATCTAATAGCTAATAAATATTATTAAATTTACGGCTTAAAACATAAAATTTGTACATAAAAAGTAAATATCGTCATTTTGTAAATCATATCACGTGTAAATAATGTCTTAAACTATCAATTTAATAGTACAATATGCTATTAAGCTTTATTTATAATTGATTCTAAAGTGTAAGTTCAATTTGTTAAAACTAAAAATTCAGGACGCATTATGCAAAAAACTGAATAATTTGACATGCAAAGTGTAATTTACTCTATCATAAATTTATACTTTTTTCTTTTTTAATTTGCTTGATATTATTTGTCGTTTTTAAAGGTGATGTCGTTTGTCAATGGACACTGATTATCTCCTTTTTTTTTTTTTTCTTTTTTTCTCTTTCCTTTTGTTTTTTCCTCTTTTTTTAACTAAAATTGTTGGTCGGCTGATTAATTAATGTGTCGTTTTCTACTATGCCGTCGTTTATACATTAATTATTGTCTCTCATTGAAGTTATTTTTCCGCGTACTGTGTCTATCACGTTGTAGTTTTCTAATCTTGTCGTTGTTGTTTAAATTTGTCAATTTGCTCCTGTCGTTTTCCCGCTACTGAGGACGTTCCGTTTTTGCTTTCCTCGGTATTAACAATTGCCACATCTTTCACCATTGTCGTTTTGCATTACTGTTTCGAGTTTCAACTTTCTTTACAGCTGTAGTATTCAGTAATGTAGAATGTTTTATTTTTTTCTGATGTCGTTTGATTTGATGGAAGTTGACGTCTGAATTTGTCGTATTTCGGTCATGTCGTTTTCTAGCTATTATAATCTTGGAACACTGTCGTTTTCGTACATTCTCGTACGATCCTCGCCAACAACGCAACGAAACCCAAAATCAAATTTAGAATACGATTCAAGATCTATCAAGAATTGATGAAAACCGCGACCCGTTGCTTAGCAAAGTAAGAACCTTGGTATGGTGAAGACACCACAAACGAGTATGAAAAATCTGTTTGATAAGTCAAGTTTGAACACCACAAGGAAACCTTGATAAGTTCGGAATAGTTTCTTCAAGAACTCAAGAAGAATATCTCACAATATGAATAAAACATCAAAACTTTTTATTAATCCGAATATCAGCCTTAAATAGTTGAAAAACAAGATGAAGAGTTCAAAAATTATAAAAGTCATATTCTACTCTTAATGAGGTAGACGCCTAAAGCAAGATAGGATAACACGCCTAAGGATAACACCTAGGGAAGGAATCTGAATTTGAATCTAATTTCTTCCTTTAAAATGCCTATTATGCAATTTAAATGTTTAATCTAAAACTTAAATCTAAAAAGATAGAATGATAATGAAGTCTTTATCCGTAATTTTGACTTGATCCCTTGCTGAAAATTACACATAAGCCTCTTGGTCTTGCCCTTGCACGTGTATCTTGGAATGTCATGCGAATTTGGCCATGCTTAATTGCTGTGTATGTCTGAATGGCTCTCTTTCGGATCAACTTTAATAAGCAAAACTAGCCTTTGTTCACCCTCAATAGTGAACATTTTCTCTTCTTGTTGTAGAACTCTCCGGATTATGTTATTTAATTCTTCTTTAAATCTTTTAACTTGATCCCTCGTCACCGGACCAACTGGGACTTGAATTAGATCGTGAGTATTCTTTGAATTCCTGATGTCCTCATCAATTCTCGTTGCATTATCGTTTCACTTTCTTTAAAGTGGTCATTAATTTAAAATGTTCTATTTTTCTGTTGTCCATTGCGCTGTCATTTTCTGTTCTACTGTCGTTTAGGATTATCATGTCGTATTTATTTTGTACATTGTCGTTTTTGAACTATCTTTGATTATTTTCTAAGGCTGTGTTTGATTAGCTACTTTAATTGAATGACGTGCGTTGTTCTTTTAATTAATCGTTTATTCAGGATCCTTTTGCTTTTAATTTATTACTGTTTTTTATTTTTTATTTTTAACAATTTTATGGTTTCCCCCTAATAACTATATCCTAACTCAATAAAACATCATTCTCTCACTTTTTTTAAGGAATTTCTTTTTTAACAGGAAAACGGAAACATATTCTTTAGAGTCCTAAATCTAAATTTTTACTCATTACTCTGAGTTAATATCTTTTTTACTTAAGTAACTATATAAGTCAAAAGTAATATTACTCTTTATTAACGTCGCTTTCCTTTGAGCGATTCAATTTGTTATCTGCATCCATGGATGATTTTGGTTTCAGTCAAAAGTATATGTTCTTTTCTACTTTTAAATACATATTATTGTTTTGTAATTTACGTATTATATCTTTGCACTCTTTTTTTTTTTTTTTTTTTTTTGAGAGGGATCATGTTTCAAAATGTTCACTAATGTAATGAACTTGAAAAAGACCATTTTCAATTATTGTACGCCTCACCAAGAAATCTTTACTCTTATGAACGGTTTTGAATTATTCTGGGCTCCTACAAGAAATCCTATTTTCATGCCTGGTTTCAAGGGAACACATGCATGAAAATGTTTCAATCGGTTTATCAGCACAGCTTTGAAGTTGCTTTACCTCGGCTAATATTTGGGTATTAACGGTTTTCTGAAACACATTTTAAACGTAAATTCAGTGACCTATTAACTAATTACTACTCTAAATTACCTACAAAATATATGCCAACAAGTCATGGAAACTTTTGGACCACTCAACGTTTATGGTAATCCATACATATCTTAGCGGCGGAGCTACATCTTAGCGACGGAGCTACATGGGGCTGAGCGGGGGGCGGTACTCAAATTTTTTTGAAAAAAAAATATTATTTTTTAAAATTTTAAAATTTTACATTTAAGCTCCCACTGAAATAATATATACTCCCACTAAAATAAATATATTTTCTTATATGCTCCTACTAAGATAATTTGTTAAAAAAAATTAATGTACGACCCCACTGAAATGAAAGGCTGGCTCCGCCTTAACACTCACTTTTTTGTTGATATGTTTTAATATTACTTAAGTAGCTAGGGGATAATTTGTATTTGCAAACATAATTTAACGCTAATTTCACAATTATTTCTAATACTATATTCTAGAACTTAATCTCTTATTTCTAAATCGAATAAATATTGTTTATTATTTTATACCATTCATTTTGAGTTTATCGAAAATAAATACTCTATCTTTTGGGATGTGTGCAAGATCATACCTCCAAATTTTATATTCATGCTAAATTTTGAGATTACACATTTTTCTTTTGATCAACAACCCATTATGACCCATAAAGAGATGAAGCTTTGAAACTTACGAAAATAAAACAGAACCAGAATACTAATTAAACGCTATGATTAAAAGCAAAGAAAAAAAATTATAAAAGCAATTATTTTCGAGCTAATCTTAACAATTGTCATAATATTTGGTTATAAGTTTTACCCGTAAGTTGTAAATAGTGAACTCGTCAGTTCACTGATCAAAATCAGATGTTGACCCATATGAGATATAAATTTGACATAAAGTTAAATATTTGTGGGTGAAATCCTAAGAACAATCAAAATTTAGAGTATATATTTCATTCGTTTTATTTAACTTAAAAATGGGATTTGAAAATACTTTATTATTTTATGCTCGAATAAAATCTAATAACTGGTGCAACTTGATAGTTATAATTTATATAAGCGAATAATGTGTGTGTATATATATATATATATATATATAACGTTTGTTTAAAACGAAAACTTAGAACTTGTTGTATATATTTTTATAATCGTTATTACACGTATATGTATGAGTCCACGATTTTTTATGGTTATAAGTCCAGATCTCATTGAAAGAGAAAGAGGGTGAAAAAAGAATTATCGTTTATTTATTATTCTGTGTAAAGTGTGGCAGATTTGTAGTAAAATGGTTTATTATTAAGCTTCAATTTTATAGAAAATGGAATGACATGTGGCAAGAATAGAACAAAAAGAGTGCGAAAGAGAGTGACCAAACAAGTGACCTTAATATTTCTCTCAAAAAAAAGTTGGGCATTGTTATTTTAGTTCAAGATTTTTGCTAATTCTTTCACCAACAAAAATATTTCTAGCCCCAACCCATTTTCGGTGTAATTTTTGACTTGCCTCTACTGACACACTTGCGGGCAAACTTAAAACCCGACCATATAATTAAACATTGGTTTAAATATCCTTTTGGAAAATAAAATTTGTGGCTATAATGTGGAGATTGTGCAAAGGGAATAGACGTGGGTAAGGCCCTTTAAGGGCCCGTTTAGTTCGCTGATTCGAGTTTTTAATTCGAGTTGAGATGTGACTTTATGTGAGAGTTTTTTTTACTGTAACAAAAAAGTTAGATGTAACTGTTTCTGAGAGCTTTTTACTATAGTAAAACTCGAATTTTAAACTCGAATCGGTGAAATGAACGGGGTCATATCCTGCGCCTCATTCCAAATCTTTTCGGAAAAGTAGGATTTATTTTGATGAAATGTACACACAAAAAAAGAAAAGAAAAAGAACCCCTCTTATTCTAGTGCATATACTCAGCATGGAAAGAGGGCATTTGCTCAAACAACGAACGACCAACATTAAATATGTTCCCGACTTGTAAGCTTTCGGTTTACATTAATTAAAGTGTTTTTGGGGCTTGGTTTGTGGCAGGCTAACGACCATACATGTGCATGCCAATGTCAATGACCCCATCTCTCTCTTTCTCTCTCTCTCTCTCTCATATGTTTGATAATGAATTTATATGTGTCTATATATATATATATATATATATACACGCAAAGTGGTCATATGCGTGGCTAGTTAACACCACCATATATGCACGTAACAAACAGGAGAAAAATTAGATGACCCTCCTCTTTAATGTGATCACTTCCACCTGTCTTTCTCTCCAAGCTAAATAAACTATTTGGAAAGTACCAAGGATAAGTCAAAAAAAAAAATTAGAGCTAAGAAAACTATAGTCTAGATAGGTGTGGTATAAGTTCCTTTGTCTTTTATGATCTTCTTCCCCACCATTACTTCTTTTCTCACCTTTTATTTTTATTTTTATTTATTTTTCCTTTTGTGCAGTTTATGAATAATTTTTTGAACTTAATGATAGTACTAGCTAGTTCACATGGTTAGGCAGCTAACTAAGGACTAGCTTATAGTGACATCGATGCATCAACGAGGAAGAGGTTGGAGAAAAAGTTGGCCAGCTACTACCACTTCTTATTTTATAACGACATTCACATGTGATGAATGATATGTGTACACAAATATTATTCTTATATTGTATATATCGACATTCTAAATTGAGTATTCAGTTGTCAAAAAACAGAGCTTTCACATTCAGTCCTTCAAGAGGTAATTCAACATCCGAATCTGTGACCACAAACCCGGTACACCATTGCTGTTAAGCACTATTGTATAATATATATAT